CAATCCAAACTAGCTATGCTAAAGCTAGTTTGGATTGCACAAAAATATATAATGCTAAAGCTAGTTTAATACATTAAGCAATCTATGTCGCTCTGGAATACGCACGAAAGTTTTATTTTTATTTTACACAGGGGGACCGCCCCCCCGCAGGGGGGGCGGAATACCCTGTGTCTACGCAAAGCAAGGTTTATATAATTAAAAAAGAAATAAATAAATATTAATAAATTGTAACGTAATATATTTTTAAACATAAAATAATACAGATTTGCCAAAAAAATTTAAAACAAATAACAATAATTGTGAGAAATATAGAAATGAACTATATATCAATAAGAAAACATTGTTGTTCCGATGCCGCAAAAGATATTTTTCACCGAATGCAAAAAAGAAACGAATAAGTAAACAGTGCAATTATAATAAAAGTTCTAAAGTAGGATCTTGGTTTAGTAACAGCAGCTTAGAAATAGATAAAATCTGCAAAATTGTAACATATTTTCTAATTTGTTTCTTCCTTCCTGGATAATGGAGGATACAGCTCAGCAATTAAGTCGAAGAAGTTTTCTATTCGCTCACTAAAAGCATGAGCGCGTTTGTATAGAAATTCGCACAAATATCCCTCAAGATGAGACTCTCGCGTTCCATATCTTGGGATATTCGCGCGTACTTCTCTCCAAACACGCTCAATATGCTGTATATGGGCGCCTGTAAATAAAAATACTGTAATACATTGTAATATATACATTGTTAACTTTGGTAAACGTATCAAAAAACTTTCGATATATTTTAACATTTTTACTTTGTTTTAAAATTTCTTACCAGTATCTGGATCGACGAAATTGTATGTATGATTAACATTCAAATGTTGGAAGCCTTCACTGTTTAAACAGTCATAGGACTTCCAACAATCTGAAATAATTGTCGTTCCTGGCATGATCCATTGTTTAATACATGCCAGGAGCGTCTTTTCTGATCGATCCTCTACTGGCATAATAAAAACCTTCTTCGACTCTCTCTCGTATCCCCCAAAGATCCAATTGCCTTTTACAAGGCGACCACGATTATACTTTCGATGGCCAATTTTTGCCTCGTCTATTTCAACAGTATGTCCAGGACCTCCAAGTTTCTCGCTTTGCTTGTCGGCCCAGTACGCACAGACTTGTAAATGTACAAAATATTAATTATATGTACACATATATACATATATATATATATATCATTAATGCAAAATATTAAAATATATTACCTCGCGACAAAAACTGAACCAATCAACAATCGTGTGGGAAGAAACACCTAGTTCCTCCTGGAGAAACTCTTGTCGAGGAGGACGTAGCATAAGAAAACATGCTACAATCTTGCAAATTTGATCTATTTCTAAGTTGCTATTACTAAACCAAGATCCTACTTTAGAACTTTTAATATAAGTGCACTGTTTACTTATTCGTTTCTTTTTTGCATTTAATAAAAAATATCTTTTGTTGCATCGGAAGAACAACGTTTCCTTATCGATATATAATTCATTTTCACATTTCTCACAATTAATTACCGATGGCAATACACCATGTTTTATTAAAAAATCTACAAAATCATCTTTTTTTGACATTAACTGTATAAAATCGAATAATTGCATTGTGAGGTCGAATTGCGCATTTATACAAGTATAACATATGTATTGACATGTTTCATTTGTTTTAAATTTCGTGAAATATTGTGTCCACCGCGCATGCGTTTCTGTTACAACGCATGCGCGCCTGACCGCAGCGTATGCTCACATCGCTATAATTCGTCAAAGTGACAAGTTTTCTAACCTGAAAAGTCGTCAACTTTGACGCTTAATATCTCGTCTCCTGGGACAAAGCGACATTTTAGTGAAAGGAAAAAGTTTTTTTAAAAGAAAAAACGCATTGAATGAGACCAGTTGGGTCAAAATCGGAGGTGACGTGGGTATTCTGCATAATTACCTTAATTTTATTTATTTTAGACAAATTATACACTGAAGTCTCGAATCATGTGCTTTTTTGACAGAAAGTATGATAAAATTAAAATTTATACAATCATACCAATTATCATTATGCCTTATATGACAATTGTTTAGAGACTTTAGTGTATGATTTGTCTAAAATAAATAAAATTAAATAGCTCAAAGTTTAAGATTTCTTATTAAAAAATAAATTGGCTGTATTGACCCAGAGCCGGGTGTTAGATGCTCAAAAAATAATAAGTAACTAAATTGTCAGTTCATACGTTTCGGCACATTTATTTCGGCCATCTTCAGTGATAATAACAAAATAAGTAAACAAACGTTACAAAAGAAACATGCAATAATAAAACAAGTATGTTCCGCAAGGCTAACGCATATCGGTTGACAAAATTTTAAAAGTTCGTTGTAAAATAAAATATACAAAGTAAATTAAAATAATAATGAATTATTATCGCAAACGCAAAGTCATAGTATAATAAAAGCAGGTTAGAAGGTCTTACTTGAGTGTCCATGATAAAATGTAGAAGTAAATGTGTCTTCAAAATTCGAACCAATTATAAGTCAATGTGTTCTAATATGCGACATGTAACAGCCACGCTCTGAAGACATTTCTCCTTTTGCCACAACTTCACTATGCTTAACGGATTGCAAGAAAATAAGAAGCCGACGAGTGGTCGGTCAATCTATGAAAATTATGAATAAAAGAAGTAAAATAGAGACTATTATAAAAATGTGAAACGAATTTAACCCAACACACGAATGGAAAGACGTTAGTCACATGATTTGCAAGAAAAACAGAGCAACATTTACCTTTGATTATAATATCAGTTGAATATAAGAAGGTCCAAAGATTATAAAGTTTGATAAAATGTTTTGGTGTCCCATTAGAAAGTTGAAATCCTTAAGGATGGAATAAAACTTTGATATGTCAATTCGGATATATGTCAGATGAGTGAATGATGAAATTGAAATGAGCACAGATTTTGGTAGAAGGACTAGGGGCCGATCTATTAGAGGAATAGGGGGAAGGGAAGTAAGGAATATGGAAGAGGGGAGAAAAGGAGGGGGATCTAAGAAGAGTCTAAAAGGAGGGAAATTTTCGAAGGATGGGTAGGTAAGAGTTAGGAAGGAAATCCGTGTCACTTTGTTTATTAAGGCTGTTCTGTTGTTTTTTTATGTGTAACATTTCTGAAATTAACCTTTTGCTATAAGATGGTTCTCTATCTAAAACTTCGATTTGATCCCATTCAAAATCATGATTGTGTTCTAATCTGTGGCTCGAAATGGTAGAGGGAGAACCAGATCTTTTATTAATGTCATTGCGATGCTCTTTGATTCTAGTTCGAAGTTGTCTCTTTGTTTGGCCTACATAAGAGGCATCACAATCATGACACGAAATTTTATAAACCACTCCGCTTTGTTGCATAGGATCAAGAAGATCTTTGCCAGTTTTTATAAATTTGTCTAATCGGTTATTACAATAGTAGGCAGTATTAAAATTGTATTTTTTAGAAATGGACGTAAGTTTTTCAGAAATATTGTTAACATATGGGATTATAAAAAATTTGGTTCCTCTCTCTTTAAATTGAGATGTATTATTTTTATTATTATGTAGTAAGAATTGAATCCTTTTTATTAATAGTAGAAAAAATAAATTCTAAAGGGTAGCAATTATTTAGCAAAATCGAAATTGTGTGTTTTAAATTTTTTTGTTGAAATTTAGGATGTGATAGTCGAAAAAATTTTATCTGCTAGATTTATAATGACACCCTGCTTATGTATCAAAGGATGTTGGGAATGGAAATTTAGGTATCTTCCAGAGAAAGTAGGTTTATGGTATATATCAAAAATAAGTCTGTTGTTATCGTTAATGATTAAAATATTTAAAAAGCTAAT